TAAATTGTATAAACACCTTTCTCCGCATCAAATTGTATATCAATATGAGGTCTATTCTCAGTCGCATTAAGTCCCAAATCATCCATCATATTATCCTACAATAAGAAATTTAATTGAAATGACATTATGCGGTGAATGAAACACATAATATAAGTATAGCATTCAAAAAAGATAAAAATCAAATTAGAACAATATTAACCATAAAAATAGAAACAAGATCAAAAAACAATATGTTACATACATCTTCTATGGCTACTTGCATTCATAAATGCAACTAGATTCATTAACAAGCTTGCTGCAGAAAAACATGATAGGCAAGCATAGTTATTTCTCTTTTCAAGCTCCATTTATTGAATCCTAATTTAATGAATTACAAAAAATTCTTTCAACAAATATGTGAACTAGGATTTCCTTTATTAATCAAAGCCTCTCCCCCTCAAANATGGTATTATCTTCTCAATACAAATGAAAGAATGATATAAGAGAATAAAATGACACAAATACCCTTTTATGTGAAGAGTTCACATATAAAAAATTTATTTAAAAATTTTTTCATTATATTATGTTTAAGTGTATGATATCACCGTTTTTTTTTAAAATTATTTTATTTTTTTTTTCTTGTATTATGTTTAAATGTACAATGTTAATGGTTTTTTTTTTTAAAAAAAATATTTTGAATTTTTTTCCTTTTACTATGTTTAAGTGTACTGTGTCACCTATTTTTTTTTTTTTAAAATTATTTTAAATTTTTTTCTTATATTATGTTTAAGTGTATGATGTTAACGGTTTTTTTTAAAAAATTATTTTGAATTTTTTTCTGGTATTATGTTTAAGCGTATAATGTTATCGAATTTTTTTTTAAAAAATTACTTTAAATTTTTTCCTTGTATTATGTTTAAGCGTACAATGTCAGCGATTTTTTTTTTAATTTTTTTAAAAATTATTTTCAATTGAATAGATGATGTTAAAGAATGAATGATATTAAGGGTAAAATCGTATATTTATTATATAAGATGTGATAAAATAGATGATTGTTTATGAGATCCACCATAATACCTATTGAATAAATAAATATGAGAGATGATTGAAATAATTTTTACTACTGATACTAATATCCATTAATATTAAAAATATAAAAAATATATTTTTAATACCAGACTGATATAATACTCGAAACATACACGCTCCAAGTAGTTTGAGAAAGAGTACGTACAGTCTGGGAATTGAGCGGAGCAAACCATTTTACGATGGTGGTCCGATTATTGAATCCAATTCGTAGTCCCATAGCCCCCATAGTCCCCTTTGCCGTGTCAAAGCTAAAGTGAGCCGTGGGTGAGGCATGCGCACCACGCGTTGGCGTATAGCAGACACCTACTCGAGCGACGTTAATCAGTGAGTCAAGACCGCGATTCATAGCTTCCCTCAACCAACCTGCCTGTTGTTAATCAACCACATACACTTAAAACGTTTATAGAGAGAGAGAGAGAGAGATAGGGAAAAAAAAAAACACAAAACACCACCGATCTTTGATTTAGAGAAGCCATCAATCAATCCCATGTAATTGTCACAGTTTTCCTTAGATATGAATTTTCCCCAAATTTGAATGGAATCCCTAACCCTAGCCACTATTTCTTCTATCGGATCCTCCCAATGCGGCACATTTCAAATCCTCTGTAACAATTGTAACTCCTCGCTCTTATTCTCTGGAGGTTGAGCAATTAGCTTCTCACTGATCACCAACAGATCCTTCTCTCTGTATTCTATTTATTTGTCTACTTTTTAACTTTTTTTTCTTTCCGTTTAATACATTTGAAAATAGAGAAAATAGACAGATTGTGCATAGAGAGTGTAAGGAGTACATAGCTAGCTGTGAAAAAAGACAACAGTGATAGCATAAACAGAAAATTCATCTACCCAAGTGTTTTGGAGAAAGAAAAAGATGGGTAGTTCGGATACGGGAACTGGCGTTGCTGATAGCAGTGTTGGGAGTATCGTTTGGGTTCGGAGACGGAACGGGTCGTGGTGGCCTGGTAAAATACTCGGCCCAGATGAGCTCTCGGCTTCTCATCTCATGTCTCCCCGATCCGGAACACCGGTTAAGCTTCTTGGGAGGGAAGACGCCAGTGTGTGAGTCTATTTAAGTTGAATTTGAGCTTCTGACACCATTATTATTTTGTGGTTACTTGCTGATTGCTGCACGTTTGATGGTGGATCATGAACTGTTTTGTCTGATCTGTTTCTTATTAAATTTTGTGTAATTTATTGTTGGGTCATGGGTTCCTCTTGCTTTGGTTGGTATTTGGTAGCTCGTTGAATGTCACTAGTGCATATGCTACATCTTTTATTTCATTTGAAAAATACTGTTTGGTGAAGTTTTGTTGTTGATTAGGGATGGTTTGAACAGAAATGCACTTTATATTAAAGGAAAATGCCTATTCGTTAGTGTTTTGAGAGTAAATCCATTGTTCAGCTGTTTAAGATTAAAATGCCTTGTCAAATAATGGGGGAATGAAAACTTCGGAGATTAAAATATTGAAGTTTTGATATCAAAACCATGACAACATGTCTCATATAGGAGGAATACATATTTATTATGCTGGCATCTTTTCAAGTCATGATTGTATGTTTTATATATAAGGAATACATTTTTACCGTTGTGTCATTGTTTCATAATTCATACTTCTGGGAAACATACAACATGATGAAAGTGATAAACTTTCATCAATTGCTATATTTGTTATTATACCAACCATAATGTGTTTCATTTATTAAACTATTGAACTCTTGATTTCAATAGCAAAAAAAAAAAAAAACTCTTGATTTCAACATTTGACAATAATGTGTTCTTTTTCATTTCACATGTATAGAAAGTGTCTTAAAGTATAGCAAGAGAAAATAAGAGATAGAATGGTGGATATGTAGAGAGAGAAATTTAGGAATAGAAGATCTTGATAACTGGTGTTGAAGAAGATAGGGGACCAACCATAACCACTGGCGGATTGAATGGTCCCTTGTGAGGGGAGTACCATATCAACATTAAAAGGGAGGGGAAAAAATATTTTTTATTTAAAAAATTAAACTTGGTTAAGAAAAGTTAATAGATGAAAAAGATACTGTGAGAAGAATTAACAAGATAACATTCCAGAATGACCATTTTAAATGGGCCCTAATCTTCTTGAACTAGCCACCCAATCAATTTTTTGGGTATGGTTACTCTCCCTGTTGCATGCTAGGCAAGCTTTTACACTTTATAGGGACTCATTTATGAGATGGAGAGCTAGAAATTTTATGCATTATGCTTTGTAATAGTATTGGATTGGTGCAGCTATTGTGGTGTTTGCTGCTTGTCGGCCTGCGTGGATAGATAGCGACTTTAATAATAACCAAGAGCACATAATTTCTTATGATGGACATCAGGACTGACTTGAGCAATGGATTGGATGGATTAAGAAGTAAAATGTATTCATCTGGTAGGGATAGCTTATTTGTAGGATATGATTAGATGTGGCTTGGTTTTTGCAGTGCTGTAGCTTCTGTTTTCTCTAGGTATACACATTTTATTTTTTAAGATTGGCCAAACTTAAGGCTCAGTGTTTTTCATTGACTAGTTTAGGTTGTTGGTTCCCCATCCCGTTTCTTTGAGTGATAATTTGCCCAAGGGCTATCATCTTTCAACTTGTACTGATACGCTGGTTTTTCACCGCCGGGGGGGCGGGGCGGGGGGGAACAGTAATACTGTGCTTCAAATTCTTCTTATTTGTGCCTTTTAGGTGAATGTGCCATTGCTTTCCCACCAATGAAGGAAAGAAGCTCCTACTACAAATAGATAGACAAACAAAAAGGAACAAATCTCTTGGTTTAGTGGTATGAAGATAGGGAGTGGAGGACATTGTTGGTCACTAAATTCAGAGAAAGTAGGTTTGTTGGAGGAGGCCATTTACATGGTTAGGAACTCATCGGAATGCCTTGTGGAAAAGCGAGTGGCCAATACACTTGGAAAAAATAAATTGGCTAAGCATGATGAAATTTTTGTTTACGAAAATCTCAATGGAAATTACCTTCTGAAAAAAATCTCAATGGAGATCTCTGTTGTACTGCTTGCTTCTCAATTGTGCTGGTATAGGTGGTTTGTTCTCTTCTGTGTAGAGATATTGTGCAAACTGCTCCTTTTAAATGTCGTGAAATACTTGGGTATATGTGCATTGTTTGTTCATTTCTTAATGAACGAAAAATTTATAGTNACACGCTCCAAGTAGTTTGAGAAAGAGTACGTACAGTCTGGGAATTGAGCGGAGCAAACCATTTTACGATGGTGGTCCGATTATTGAATCCAATTCGTAGTCCCATAGCCCCCATAGTCCCCTTTGCCGTGTCAAAGCTAAAGTGAGCCGTGGGTGAGGCATGCGCACCACGCGTTGGCGTATAGCAGACACCTACTCGAGCGACGTTAATCAGTGAGTCAAGACCGCGATTCATAGCTTCCCTCAACCAACCTGCCTGTTGTTAATCAACCACATACACTTAAAACGTTTATAGAGAGAGAGAGAGAGAGATAGGGAAAAAAAAAACACAAAACACCACCGATCTTTGATTTAGAGAAGCCATCAATCAATCCCATGTAATTGTCACAGTTTTCCTTAGATATGAATTTTCCCCAAATTTGAATGGAATCCCTAACCCTAGCCACTATTTCTTCTATCGGATCCTCCCAATGCGGCACATTTCAAATCCTCTGTAACAATTGTAACTCCTCGCTCTTATTCTCTGGAGGTTGAGCAATTAGCTTCTCACTGATCACCAACAGATCCTTCTCTCTGTATTCTATTTATTTGTCTACTTTTTTACTTTTTTTTTCTTTCCATTTAATACATTTGAAATAGAGAAAATAGACAGATTGTGCATAGAGAGTGTAAGGAGTACATAGCTAGCTGTGAAAAAAGACAACAGTGATAGCATAAACAGAAAATTCATCTACCCAAGTGTTTTGGAGAAAGAAAAAGATGGGTAGTTCGGATACGGGAACTGGCGTTGCTGATAGCAGTGTTGGGAGTATCGTTTGGGTTCGGAGACGGAACGGGTCGTGGTGGCCTGGTAAAATACTCGGCCCAGATGAGCTCTCGGCTTCTCATCTCATGTCTCCCCGATCCGGAACACCGGTTAAGCTTCTTGGGAGGGAAGACGCCAGTGTGTGAGTCTATTTAAGTTGAATTTGAGCTTCTGACACCATTATTATTTTGTGGTTACTTGCTGATTGCTGCACGTTTGATGGTGGATCATGAACTGTTTTGTCTGTTCTGTTTCTTATTAAATTTTGTGTAATTTATTGTTGGGTCATGGGTTCCTCTTGCTTTGGTTGGTATTTGGTAGCTCGTTGAATGTCACTAGTGCATATGCTACATCTTTTATTTCATTTGAAAAATACTGTTTGGTGAAGTTTTGTTGTTGATTAGGGATGGTTTGAACAGAAATGCACTTTATATTAAAGGAAAATGCCTATTCGTTAGTGTTTTGAGAGTAAATCCATTGTTCAGCTGTTTAAGATTAAAATGCCTTGTCAAATAATGGGGGAATGAAAACTTCGGAGATTAAAATATTGAAGTTTTGATATCAAAACCATGACAACATGTCTCATATAGGAGGAATACATATTTATTATGCTGGCATCTTTTCAAGTCATGATTGTATGTTTGATATATAAGGAATACATTTTTACCGTTGTGTCATTGTTTCATAATTCATACTTCTGGGAAACATACAACATGATGAAAGTGATAAACTTTCATCAATTGCTATATTTGTTATTATACCAACCATAATGTGTTTCATTTTATTAAACTATTGAACTCTTGATTTTCAATAGCAAAAAAAAAAAAAAAACTCTTGATTTCAACATTTGACAATAATGTGTTCTTTTTCATTTCACATGTATAGAAAGTGTCTTAAAGTATAGCAAGAGAAAATAAGAGATAGAATGGTGGATATGTAGAGAGAGAAATTTAGGAATAGAAGATCTTGATAACTGGTGTTGAAGAAGATAGGGGACCAACCATAACCACTGGCGGATTGAATGGTCCCTTGTGAGGGGAGTACCATATCAACATTAAAAGGGAGGGGAAAAAATATTTTTTATTTAAAAAATTAAACTTGGTTAAGAAAAGTTAATAGATGAAAAAGATACTGTGAGAAGAATTAACAAGATAACATTCCAGAATGACCATTTTAAATGGGCCCTAATCTTCTTGAACTAGCCACCCAATCAATTTTTTGGGTATGGTTACTCTCCCTGTTGCATGCTAGGCAAGCTTTTACACTTTATAGGGACTCATTTATGAGATGGAGAGCTAGAAATTTTATGCATTATGCTTTGTAATAGTATTGGATTGGTGCAGCTATTGTGGTGTTTGCTGCTTGTCGGCCTGCGTGGATAGATAGCGACTTTAATAATAACCAAGAGCACATAATTTCTTATGATGGACATCAGGACTGACTTGAGCAATGGATTGGATGGATTAAGAAGTAAAATGTATTCATCTGGTAGGGATAGCTTATTTGTAGGATATGATTAGATGTGGCTTGGTTTTTGCAGTGCTGTAGCTTCTGTTTTCTCTAGGTATACACATTTTATTTTTTAAGATTGGCCAAACTTAAGGCTCAGTGTTTTTCATTGACTAGTTTAGGTTGTTGGTTCCCCATCCCCTTTCTTTGAGTGATAATTTGCCCAAGGGCTATCATCTTTCAACTTGTACTGATACGCTGGTTTTTCACCGCCGGGGGGGCGGGGCGGGGGGGAACAGTAATACTGTGCTTCAAATTCTTCTTATTTGTGCCTTTTAGGTGAATGTGCCATTGCTTTCCCACCAATGAAGGAAAGAAGCTCCTACTACAAATAGATAGACAAACAAAAAGGAACAAATCTCTTGGTTTAGTGGTATGAAGATAGGGAGTGGAGGACATTGTTGGTCACTAAATTCAGAGAAAGTAGGTTTGTTGGAGGAGGCCATTTACATGGTTAGGAACTCATCGGAATGCCTTGTGGAAAAGCGAGTGGCCAATACACTTGGAAAAAATAAATTGGCTAAGCATGATGAAATTTTTGTTTACGAAAATCTCAATGGAAATTACCTTCTGAAAAAAATCTCAATGGAGATCTCTGTTGTACTGCTTGCTTCTCAATTGTGCTGGTATAGGTGGTTTGTTCTCTTCTGTGTAGAGATATTGTGCAAACTGCTCCTTTTAAATGTCGTGAAATACTTGGGTATATGTGCATTGTTTGTTCATTTCTTAATGAACGAAAAATTTATAGTCTTTGTCTGTCTAATTTTTATTTTTATGAACTTATTGGTGCTGTGTTCTACTGTCGTACCAGGGACTGGTACAATTTGGAAAAGTCCAAGCGTGTGAAGGCATTTCGATGTGGTGAGTTTGATGAGTGCATTGAAAGGGCTGAAGCTTCCCTTGGCATTCCTCCGAAGAAAAGAGAGAAATATGCACGTCGGGAAGATGCCATACTTCATGCTCTTGAACTTGAGAAGCAGCTGTTGGAGAAGAAATATGGGAAAGTAGGTCATAGCTCTAAGGCAAGGAACAGTAAATCATCAGATGGTGCAAAGAAAGAGTTGTCAACATCTTCAGAGTGCTTGGGAAATTCCACTGGGAGACAATTGAACCCTAAATCTCATCAACGTTCTAAGGGTCAGGACTTATCTGTTGAGAACAGTGGCAAAAGCGGCCATCAACTGAATGGGGATGACGATAACTCTGGTGCACTACCTCGGATGAGAGGCTTGCAGGACTTTGGTCTCAGGACTGCCTCTTCAAAGCGTAAGCTTTCTTCTTCAGTTGCTTCTAATGGTTCTCAGAAGCCTGCGTTTGACGAGAGTCTTCATGCTCTTTCTAGCAGTGGTCGTAGCACAGAAAGTTCAGTTCATGCGAACAGTGAAAATTTGGTAGACAAAAGGAACAGGTTATATGAGGAGTTGGCTGACGAATCTCTTGTCAAGAGGCGTGACAAGCGCCGTCCTCTTGTTCAAGTAATGCAGAGTAGTGCAAAGCTATCAGTTCTTCACCCAGAGGCTGATGGCTGTACTGTTTCTATTCCTGTGTCAGAAGAGGAAGAGCCAGGAGCTGCCTGCCTTGCCAACTCCAGTGATTGTTTAGAAGACAAAGAAATTAATCCCAACGAGATGGGTATGTCACCTTCCAAGGTTGAAGAAACTAATTGTGCTAATCTTGCTGCTTCAAATGAAGAGAAGACATCAGGATCTACAGAGGATACGGAGACTGATTCTTCTGATACTGATTCTGAAGAATCAGATAGGGACGAGGACTTGAATGCGTTTTCAGGTTAATTTTGAATGTTTCGATTTTGTCAGACAGCATCCTCATTCTTTTTATATGTTTTTCTACTCCCTTATGTTGGTTAGGCTTAGATTGCCTGAAATGTCAGTTGTGTGGCTCATAGCATATCATCTGCTTCTTCTATCTTGCATCAATAATGAATATTTATTGTATTTTCTGCATGCATTCTGCTTGCAGTATCTCATATTTTATAGTTATTATTGATCCTCTAAAAGTTATGTTTTTATTGTCTACAGAGNTGCATGCATTCTGCTTGCAGTATCTCATATTTTATAGTTATTATTGATCCTCTAAAAAATTATGTTTTTATTGTCTACAGATGGATTAATAGGCCCACCCTAGTTATTCAAAGTAGCCACAAAAAAATTTCTGTTAGCTTTCAGCCGCCATAGGTTGTACTCCCATATTTTTTTCTGTTTTTTCCTGGTGTAGCAAGCAACAAGGAATTTGGCCTTCTCCCTTACCCCCAAACAAATATATACCACCTGTGTGATTTATTAAGGTGATCTTGATCGCATATCTTCCTATGCCAATAGTACTATGTTAATATGGCTAATGAATCATCAAATTACTGAAACTTGTTGATATTTTACGAAGTAAAATTCATTGGTGGCCATATTGATATTTGAAAACTAATTTTATTTTTTATTTTTTATGCTTGATGGTCAATGATTTCATGTATTCTTATGCCAATAATTATTTGAATCCTGGTGAGAATTTTGAGCTTCAAATATATGAAATCTGAAATGTGTAAAACATCACAGAAATTTGAAGAGTGAGTTTTCTTTGTGTGTTGAAAATAAGAGCATCTAAGTGAATTCACAATGGGTGCATGCGGAAAAAAAGAGATGTGTGTATTTAACACAAAGATGAGTTTTGACTTTTAACTTTCATATAAGTAGCTTTAGCACAGCATTTACTCTCATTAAAGCTTTGGAGATGAGCTGATTATTAAAACCATTGCTGTAGTTACTGAGTTTTGATTTGAAAATCCTTGGGGTAGATGGAAACCATGAAGCAGTTGATTTGGCAGAGCAGAAGATATAAAAAAGAATTGGACATATTGGATTTTATGTACGTACACCATATTGTGATATTTTGGTATATATTAATATTAGAATTGTTAATGAATGGTGGCACCTTAGTTAAATGGTTTATCTATGCTAATTCTGGTCAGGAATCTGTGGAGTGTATAAGAAGTTCCTATATCTTGGACTTTTTTTGGATTCCTAACTTGCTTTCAAGTTTCAACAAAATTTATTTCTAAATTCTGTTAGAAAGAAACTTCTAGGGCCCAATCTGTCGCCTCACAGGACAATGGAAGGCTTTCGAACACAAGTTATGCACCTTCAGTAATGGGTGCACTGGAGCCATGAGACTTACAGATAAGGCTTGTAGCCTTGGTTGATTGCCTGTTATGATATACATTTTTTCTGAGAATGTTGGAGGTGCACCATGGGGGAAGATGCTTGAAAAGTCAAAAGATGATGAGGTTCAACATGATGTGCTCAGCTGACTGGTAGCTCCATGTCTTTCCCCTTCCATTTGAAGTTTCAGGGTCTTGAGTCCCTATAGAAGGGCATGTGTGGGGACGTGGAGTTGTGGGAAGCATGGTTCGTATTGACCATCAAATCGGCGAGCGAGGAGCCACATTATTGTTCATGGTGCCAGGGAATGGAATTGGGCAACACATACAAAATACTATGAAGAAGAATTTGTGCATAACGAGAGATTTAAGTCATATCACAGTATCAAGGAACACTATTGGGCAATATATTGCAATTCGATGATAATGACTTGGACGACTAGATTGAGTTGTTTGAGACATCTTTGAGTTAACCATGAGTTTAGTGAGACTCCTGGTTTAGATGGTATGCATACCGGCCTCGAAACGGAAGATGCCGTTTCAGATACAACTCCGCTGAGTTGTCTCCCTGCCATCTCCGTATTGGCCGATATTTTGAACTATGATGGGAAGGACTCAAGGGAAAGGCTATCCCCTTCATGTAACTTCTGCCCTTAGATGAAAAAAAATAAGGTTATGAGCTTCCTGCCTTTGGTAATGGTTGTCTTGGTTACTGTCTCTGGTCTCTGCATATCAATAGCAGAGGATTGCATTCGATGCATAATGGGATTTAGCTTTCTGTGGTCCTGTAGTTTTGCTCAAGTACCACCCTATAATTGATGTGTAGAATTATTTTACTTATGCAAATATGCACCGAGGCTAGAATCTATGCTTTCATTCTTCAGTCTGTTATTGCCTGGAGTTGGGGGGGTTGTTGTCTTTTTGATTAGACACTACTTTCTGGTTCTGCATGTAAAAAATTCCAATGGTATTCGTAGAGATTTTGGGTCATTGCCATTCCTCTTAGGCCCAACTATTCGCTTCTCATTCTTTTTATCCTCAACTTTGGTTGCATGCTTCTTTTTAGGCGTGTCACTGTTACACGGTCTCATTGTTGTTCATTGTGGAATTGACCCTTGAATTTGTCCTGGCATGTTTCATATTATTACTTTATCTTCAAGAAACGATGTGGATGCATGGTATGTTGCTACAAAAAACATATTCTATTTTCATTGCCCTGATTTGATTCTCTTGCATAAAATTTTAAGTATTTTTGTCTTATTTTTCCCGGATCACACAAGCTGTGTATGCAGTGTAACAGTGTGTTCGAACCTCCATACCTTTCTTGATTTACAATTCCTACTAATTAAGCATTGACCGATTCTCTCCCCTTTCATGTTACATCACTGTTTTTAATTTTATTCTTTTGATATTTGCTGCAGCTGTTGGACATCATGAATTGGTTATCATTTTTTTTTACTCTCTTTCTTTTAGCAGTCTTTAACTTTCTTCTTTTGGTTGTTTAGATGATGCTGCTTTTATAGAACTACAACCGAAATATGTGGGAAGATCCGGAGCGCAAGGGGAACATGGGAGCATGAGCAGTGTAGAACTTGATAAATTGGCACTTACCAAAGAGACGTCTCATCATTGTCCTACAGACCCTGTTTCAGCTAGTGTCGGGGTGTCCAAATGGCAACTGAAAGGGAAAAGGAATAGTCGCAGTCTTTCAAAAAGATCTCTGGATGTAACTGATAGGGAAGTTTCCAGAGGATCCATTCATGGAAACGATGTCAAAGAAAAGGAAAGCAATGGTTCTGACGAGGGTAATGTGATTGGTGGGAATTTCAGGACCCAAATGGCTGGATATAACTCTAGAGGATTAGATGGTACAACCCACAGTATCATCAGTTGGGAGGACTTGGCTTGGAATGATCAGCCTTCTATGAAAAGATACTGGGAGGACTCAGGTGAGTACTATGATCCTGTATATGTTGGTGGTTGTAATTTTGATGGCAGGATAAAGAGCATGTTGCTAGATGTGGACTTGAAAGTCCAATCGAGCTATCAAAGAGAGCATGTCCCTATGATTTCACTGATGAGCAAGTTAAATGGGAAGGCAATAGTAGGGCACCCAATCCAAATTGAGGCGCTAGAAAATGGTTCATCTGAATCTCTTCTTGCTGCTGCCGATGATTTTTCCTCTGAAACAATAGATGGTGATACAGCACTCCCACCAGTGTGGAGGACTGCCCGGAGGACAGCAAATTTTCGGGTCCCGCGCCCACATCTATCATCGACATTGGAGAGTGATGAAACTGCCAGGAATTTGCAATATGTAGATCAAGATAGGAAAGTGTCATTCAGAAAACTAAATTTGGGAAGTTTCAGTCACAAAGCAAGCATTATGAGGAAGGGCCTTTCCCGACCCCCAACAGAGAGAAAGTTTCCGAGAAAGCCACCAAAGAAGATGAGCTTATCTTGTAGCCAAAAGACGAGAACACTTTCTTCGATAGCCACACAACAGAAATTTGGTAATGATCTAAGACATGGTGGCAACAGTTATCACGTTGATGGACTGATCAAAAAGGAGTCTGTGCCCACTGCAATAGCTTGTATCCCTGTTAAGCTAGTATTCAGTAGGTTAAGTGAGGAGCTGGTTGGCCGACATCAATAAGAATTAGTCTTTTGGGGGGGGTGAAAGTGAACAGACATACAGAAAGTAATGCATTATATCGACATGTAAATTGTATGAGATCAATAATCTTATACCAAACGTGCATCTATTTGTTGCTAATTGTTTTGTCCTGTTGTATGGGTTTATAATTGGCAACTTTCAAGGAAGGTTTCTCCGAACCTGCTTGAATAATGAAATGAAGCAGGTTAAAGAAACCGCACTCCGTGTTTGATGTCACTGTTGCTGAGCATTGATTTCTGAGGTTGCTAATGAAGAATGTGAGCTTGACGAGTTTAAAACAGGGTGAGTAGGAAGGAATATTCTGAACCCAAAAAAAAAAAATAGTAGGAAAGAATATGAGTTCTGCAAGTATTTATTCACCCCTTTGATTTTCTATTTTACGTCAACTAATATTCCAATTAATAGTTCGTGGTAATCGAGTCATGTCAACCGACTTGTCCAATAGGGCTGTAAAGGGGCACATAAGAACTGTTTTTTTCCTATAGAACTTCTGTTGACCCTCTCTGCGACGACATGGTACATTCAAATCTAACCACGTACTACCCCACCCCCCCCCCCCCCCCCCCCCCCCCC